AAATTCACTGTTTGTATGATATTATGTTGAATTTGATGTTTGTGTCTTGAAGATAATAAACATTCTTTATTGTCGAAGTATTGTGTATGAATGTTTGTCCAATCATGACAAAAAAAACACGAAGCGTGGTATTATAAGTTATGGAGCATTATCAGAAAGAGAGAAATTAAAACATTGGGCAAGGCAAGATTAAACAAAATTGGCAAACAAGCGCCTACATGGGTGGATCCTGTTGAAGTCGCAACCACTCCCTCTCTCTGGCGAGCTGCATCTAAATAAAGTATGCCGTACCTAATAAGGCTGATAGTCGTAAATCATCAATTCGGTGATATCGTAGAGATAGATGGATAATCTTGACTTGACAAGGGAACTTGCAACATCTGATTCAACAATTGTCTTTTGGGAAACGCCATTTATTGTTTGATTGTCTCATGAGGTTTCTTTTTTGATTGGTTTCAAATTGATGTAGTCAAAAAGAAAAAGGAATAATACCTCTTTTTCTATGTGACAACAGGTATATACAAAAAGGGAGGAAGGACTGAAGTGATCAATCAACCAAACCACCTTGACTAAAAATCATTTATCAACCTCTTTTCATGCCCATGTCTACTCAGTGACATCTTCATCCAAGGTTACCTGCGAAGTATCTGATACCTCTGTACTAATTGTCTAGAAAAACTGGAACCCTTTGTCATGAAAGTAAGCATTTCACCAGATTTAACTCACCCATTTTGCCTTTTCAATGTCCGATAACTCCCTTATATGGCTCGTAATCCAATATACCTTGAGCAAATTGATCTTCCTTTATGGCAATCATTAAATCATGAATGACGAACGCCTATACTACTGCTTGTTTGATCATAACCACGAACAAACAGAAAGTAAATTTCCCAAACCCACCCGCTTAACCGAACGCCAGTATAATAATACAATACATCATCAGAATTGTGGTCAATCACTCTGCAATCGCGTGCTTGATCTCCTCTTAGAAAAACAACTCCCGTCCTTAGAATGGTGATGGAATCTAATTATCGATAGATGAATTCATCCAAGGCCAATTCGATAGATACATCACCCCGCGAATGTTCTATGTTGTCCGATAGGTTGTTCGACATGTGCAGGGCCTGGACGATTTTGTGTATATCGTCCGAAATATTCAATGGCTGCGACAATTGCTTCATCGTCGATTTCTACATCTGCTGGATTGTCGCAATCACCAATCGTAAGAGACTCGTTGTCGGGCAGACTACTCGCAGAGGTTCCTAGAGAAGGCCGTTGTGAGCTAGACGCAGCGGTTGAGGCAAATGAAGATGATGGGTTTGGTGACTGTGGATCTGGAGTGATCAAGATACTATCCCATGATTCTTGGCCTTCTAGATCCAAATTATGCCTTGAGTCACTACGGTCGTTAACATCGAGTTGCTCAACATTATCTATGACGTAATGGTCATCAAATTCTCTGTGACCCCTCTCTGGCTCTTGAAACTCAAGGCTACGTTCTCGATCACCGAGGCCATCATAATTGCTATTTATCCTGAACGTTCCTCCTTCGCCAAACTGCGGTAGTGTATTAGATTGGGTGGCCTCTTGTCTGTTACCCTCAATATCGAGATGATTAGGCATCCTTTCGAATAACTCAAATCGTTGCCGCTCTCTGGAACTAGAAGCAATTGATTGATCGGCCTGCCCTATTTCACTGTGCGGCGTGTTGGTCTGATGTTCTTCACGGCCAGAGGGGGCGTACCACCTGAGTTGCACTTCATCAGCTAGAGTTCCCTCTCTCAATATTCCAGGTCGCTCTACTTCAGCAAGCAGTCGATCTTCAGATCCAGGGCGAGCGGACCGGTCTATTATTTCTCTAAGGCCCTGCAATAGCCCTTCGGTTCTGGCGGGAGTGGATTCTCTATTAGCCTGCATTCGTTCTCTAGAAGCTCGAATTCGTTCCCTGATCCGCAATTGCTCTCTAAAATCGCTGATGCGTCGTGCTTCGCGGGTATAGAATCGCTGTCGATATTCGAACGCGTCGTGATGGCGTGGGTGTTGAAGTAGTTCTTGTCTGATAGTGGCATCAAGACTGCTTAGCCCTCCATGCACGCGTCGCTGAATGCGCCGGTCTCGATCTGCTGCTGTATCTCGCCGTCTCACCTGATGCCTCTGCGCCGAGAAATCTTGTGAGTTCGTTTCACCGACACGTTCCGCTAATGCATTCTAAGAAAGTAATTAGCAATAATCTTTAAGTTCATACTTATTCCACATACTGCGATGCTTGGGTACTTATTAAATTTGAGCTTACATTGCGGTTCGTATGTCTGACATCAATTCGAGTGGGGGATACTGCCCTGGAGCGCTGTTCTGGAATTGGAGATGTTCGAGAGAGAAGAGAAGAGAGAGGCATGCCGTGGGCTCCAAATAATGGAGAATTGATCAATCGCTGATGACGTCTTGAAGAATCTCGCAATTCTACATTTGAAGGATTGGAAAAATCTCTGGATTCTGGAACAGCGGGCATCGGCGGTCCATCGTCCTCGTCCTCCTCATCATCATCATCATAATCATCATTGACATTCACAAAATCTGTGAAGGTACTCGGCCTAAATGTTATTATTGGAATTTCTGGTGATGATGAATCATTCCTCCTAGCATGTCTCATTGCATCACTAGTTGTTGTTGGGATTGAAGATCTGGTAGGAGCAGCGATGAGTACACTACGATATGGCTCAGAACTGTAATAAAGACGATGTTGTTCAACATCATCTGTGGGCGCCCGCCTCCGTGCGCTATGTACGCGCGGGCGGTTAGTAGCACGAGAGGAAGGATTGCGCAGAGTACTTCGAAGAATAGGAGCATGACCTCGAATAGTAGATCGTGCGCGAGAAGTAGGGTCTTCTGTCGCATTTGATGAGGAATCAGGCTCCGAAGGCTTGAAGAATATTCTATGGTTTTGAAATGAGTATGAATTTTGGCGCAATGCGACAGGCGAAATGTGAAGGGGGGGATTGATGACTTACGGTAAACCCATGTTTTGAGTGATGGAGAGTGAATAGAAGGAATTGAAATTTTAATAGAAAAAGACCATAGGAATTAATGACCGTGATTTGGTTCTTCGTTATCACAAGTTTGATGAGTTTTGAATTGACAATTGGCGATGCGTGTGATATTTGAAGGTTGCTCATTCAGTAGAAGTAAGAGAGTGAAGAAGAAAAGAAAAGGAAGAATCTGGGGGAAGACTTGAGAGATCGATCGCGTTCCAAAAAAAGGCGCGCTAAATACCCAGTCAAGTAATTAAAATGGATCTACTTCCACTTCAAACTACCCGTAGACATCCATGACAATGGTGCTTGCATACATTGGGTTACTGCGCAATTGGTATCGATTATCGATAACTAAAGACCAGACCAATTCCAAGGATTCCAAGGATTCCAAGGTTTTCACATTCAAAGTTATCAATACCGAAGATCCATTGATATCACGATCGACTCATATTTTATATGATGCGACGACAGCAACAAAGTATGTATTCTAGAACAATAGAATGAATCGATGACAATCATATTGACAATGTCTATTTTAACTTGGATGAAATAGTCACCTACCTAGCTTACATTATCACAAAGTCTTTTTTGAAACGCCCTTTGGAACCAATCATTTGATTCTCCATCTTCACAATGATTGAGCTTGGCTTGAATCGCATCAGTCGTCTTTTGAGGCATACTCCTCAACCTTGGAAAGCCATTCATGTGGCAGGTACCAATGGAAAAGGTTCAATATGTGCCTATTTGTCTGCCATGCTACATGCCAGTGGTGTTCGTTGCGGCAGATTCACATCACCTCATTTAATTGATAGGTGGGATTGTATTACTATCGATGAACAACCAATTCGAGAATCTATCTTCCGCGAAGCTGAAGCTCTAGTGTTAAAGAGAAATCAAGCAGAGAATCTCCAAGCATCCGAATTCGAATTACTCACGGCCACGGCATTCGAAGTATTTTATAAAGAGAAAGTAGAGATGGGAGTAATCGAAGTTGGTTTGGGAGGACGATTAGATGCAACAAATACTATGGAGAATAAAGCGGTTACAATAATCTCCAAGATTGGTCTAGACCATCAATCATTCCTAGGAAATACAATCGAAGAGATAGCTCGAGAAAAAGCTGGAATTATGAGACCTGGTATCCCATGTGTTTTGGATAGGAGCAATATATCTTCGGTGCGGGATGTCGTCTCAAATTATGCCAAAGAAATTGGAACAGATGTGGTTATCAGTTCTACTGAATCAGCATTTTTGGATGAAATCAAAGGACAAGATCTCGAACCACATCAATTGGAAAATCTGGCTTGCGCATACACAGCATTTCATCTAGCATATACTAAATTGGAATCTCCTCTACATCGACTGTTACCAGCTATACAAAACACACATTGGCCCGGCAGGCTTCAAACTACTGATGTTAGAGCTGTGACAGGTCGAAAAGAACCCATACTACTCGATGGCGCACACAACGTTCAATCTGCAGAAGTTCTTGGCTCATATGTCAACGGAAAACTTCGGGCAAAATCAAACAAAGTAACCTGGATATTGGCTGCATCTCAAGGGAAAGAGCTCGATGGAATTATGAATGAGACTTTAAGAGAAGGGGACTGTGTAGCAGCAGTTCAATTCGGACCCGTGGATGGAATGCCATGGGTTCAAGCTATGGATACAGAAGATATATTACATGCAGCTTCTAGAGCAGGTATTTCTACCACTTGCCTGCATGATTCAGCAGCGGACATTTCTGGAGCACTAAGATGGGCAGCCACTGTTGCTCAAGGTGGTCCTATCGTTGTGGCAGGTAGTCTTTATTTAGTTTCAGATGTACTACGACTGCTGAGGGATGCCGAAATGGTAAAAAGTTCATTGCTAGATTAGATCAGCTAAGCCTTCAATATGAATAATTCATAATCCGCTGTTTACGGACTGAGTTTCACTTATTCTTTACTATTTCACATCACCAACTATCTACTTCCAAGCAACATCATTCGTACTAACAATAATCTCATCAACCTCCATCCTCCCCTTGACAATCTCCTCTCCATTAACCAAATCATTCTCCACGACTCTCTTCTCCGCATCCTCCTCATTCTCCGCAATGCCCGCCTTTACATGTCTCGGAATCAACCTCTTCTTCGCAACCTCAAAATCCACATCCACAAACCAAAGCTGATCCATCAATTTCGCAGCGCTCCTCCACGGTTCCTTATTCAACGATAAATAATTGCCCTCAAAAACTAATATCCGGGTCGTGGGTTCAATTGGTATGTCATTAGCCTTGGGGTCCTTGAGCGCATGATCGAATGATGGAGCGTGGATTGTGATGGTAGATGGAGTTAGTGGTTCGCGAAGACGTTGGATAAGAGAGAGGAACGCGGGGCCGTCGAATGTAAACTCTGCGCCTCGACGTGCGTGTGCATGTGCTGGGTCGGGCATGGCTGATAGTTGGGCGCGGGTTAGATGGTAGCCGTCCATGGGGATAAACCCAGCGATTGGAGGGAGGGAAGTCTTGTTTGAGTGGGCATCTTGGAGAGCATTGAGACGTTTGGTAACAGTTGCTGCGAGGGTGGTTTTGCCTAAGGACGGTTTTCGTTAGGAGATTGAGGAATAGGAATATTGGGGGAAGAGGGCAATGTGGAGATGTAAATACCTGAACCGGGAATCCCAGAAACTGCGACGAGATATCTACTGTTAGGAGCTGTATGTTGGAAACTTTCTAAACGGAATCATTAGCTCCCATATCATCCCAATATGAACACAGAAGGGTAATTATATACCCCAAACCTTCTCCGTCAATCTCGTTACTTGATCTTCCATTTCAAAGGGTGTAGGTATTTCAAACTCTCGGGATAATATAAACTCAACAATTCAAACACAAGTCAAAACAACTCTCGAGATAAGATGACAAGTGAATGAAAGTCGAAGAACAACAAAAGTAGACTGAGCACCAAGACTAGAAGATATGACTAATTATGGAATGTCCCATGGAATTACTACGGCTATCAAGATGTGGTGAAACAATTATTCTCATCTAATGTGATGTGATATGACGACGATCGATGCTACTTCCACAAGTTGAACCCCTCATATGCCCCGCTCCGTTTTCTGGTTGCTGATGACAATCAAGACAAGTAGAATTTCTTATCGATAAGGAAATATTATTTTTATTTTGCTTAGCCTTACATACCTTTGGCCTCCTTCATACTATATTATCATCGAGCTCCCTTCACACATAACGCGTTACTTCACTATTTCGAGTACAACACAGCAAAGCTATACCTCCTCATTTCACACATTGCGAGCTTGCCAACACAATACCCATCTCGTCTCATCCCTGATTCCTCCATCCCAAAATGTCAGACTCAACCGAAGAAAATCCCCTCTTCGCAATTGAATACGACTCATCCGATGAATCTACCCTCGACACCACCGAAAAAGTCCCTCGAGATTTCCAATCCGAAGAGAATTTTCAAGCCGTACGACGCGAGTGGAAAGCTAGAAGCGAATCTGGCGAGGTATGTTTGCGCTTTCTTTCACCTTTCTCCGTCTAATGCTTCCCTCCCCCTCCATTCGCACATTTCCCTCTTACCTCCTTTTCCTTGATACACATACACCGAATGCAAGATTGAAAATAGGACAATAACTAACAATCCAGATAGATCCACAAAACACTCCCCCCTCTCCCTCTAAACCCACGCAGTAAACCACAAACGGCCCAGTTCCTCTACGCAATCGAAGAATTGTATTTTTATAGAAGATTTGAAGAAGCGAGGAAGTTATCGGAGCGGATCTTGGAACAAGATGATTTGATGGAGGATTTTAGGGCGGTGGTGGAGAAATATGAGAGGAGATGTGGAGAGCGATTGAAGGCTGGGAAGGAGAAGGGAGAGCAAGAGAAGTGAGAGATGAATTGTCGGTTGTCGAAATTGAGATGGGCAGTTCTTGTTTGATATTTGGTGGGGATTTGAAGGATTATGATACATTGGGCTTGGTGCTGAACGGAAAGAGTATCGATACTCCAAAGGGGTTTCACGGGAATCATGGAGTGAGAATGAGTGGCTGACGAGTAAGTAAAAGGGCTTGTTCGTGCGCGCCTATTGAAAACTAGACCCAGCTCGAGGAACATTTGCCCTTCTCATTCTTGCCGGTGCTAAGATGGGCTGAGAAGAGAATAAGCGAACCCGTGTTGAGACAGAGGGGGTTCCTTTCGCTTTCACGCCTGCATTCACTTACTCGGCGGGGTACTCTTTTAACGGCACTCATGTCATTTTGCGGTGTTCCTGAGGTGGTTCCATGGTAGGAGGTAGTGAAATGTCGATGGGAGATTGGGGATGTTAAGAAATGCCGAGAGATTGATATGAAAGAGTAGGTGGGGCGCAGAAGAGAATACATGGAAGCTGAGATCTTGGATTGATGGACAGATCCCCATCTTGGGATTTCAAGAATGACAGTGCAAAAGGAGGAGGGAGGAGAGCAAATGAAAAGAGGGGGGCGGGGGTCTTCCCTCCTTTACCTCCCCAAGTCGTCTTCTCTTGCGCTCACAATACCGAATTCCTAGCCAAAACGCGTTTCACAATCATCATGGAAGATGATGTAGATTGGGACATCCGACTTCTCACCCAACTCCCCGAATACGCCAAAGGAGTCCACACACTCTCCCACATATCTCATTCCCATCCCAAACGCTCTCCATACGGCAACGACTGGGATGTTCTCTGGCCCGGACACTGCGGCGATGTCCTCCCCGAACCCAACACCCCCCTCTACATGATCCCCAACGACCCAACCGTCGCCCCCAAAGCGCATCAAGCCTGACTCACTACTCTCACCGACCACCCCGAACACACTCGCATCGTGCATAAAGCCGGCGCTCCAATCTGCAGTTTCGGATACGCGGTTTCGCATCGCGGGGCTCAGAAGATTTTAATGGCACTAACTATTAAAGGAGGAGATAATCTGGCTATTGATAACGCGCTGGCGTTTTTATGTCGAGATGGATATTTGGATATGAAATGTTTTTCGGTGGAGCCGCAGCTTTTTCAACATCATAGGCCGGCTCGGGTGGTGAGTAAGAATAGTGATATTAATGGGGGAGATGAGACGCAGGTGAGAGAGAAGGGGTTTACGGATATGATGGTTTGGAGTGCGAGGTTGAATTTGGAGGAGATGATTTTGGGGAAGGGGAATATGTTGAGCAGTGGTGGGTGGAGGGGGCGGTGGAATTGCATGTTAGAGGTATAATTTCTTAAGGTTGTGCAAAATATTGCTGGTGGGAATCGGAAATTTAGAGGAAGATATATGGGAATGGCGTAACAGGTAGGTGGCTCGCTTATAGCATCAATGGGGAGTTTCATTGGGAGTAACTATAATGAAACGAGTTTGGAATCACACATGTATGTGCTGTATGTGCACTGAATCTTATTTCTAGAATGATCTACCGTAATATGTCTCAAAGTATCTCTGTACAATCGATTATTATGACTGTGTATCCCAAAATCTACTCAAAAAGCCAGCCCGATGCCTGAGCAGAGTGAACTATGTAAAATAACAAATCGATTTGTCCCGAGTAAATATATATGCTATGTCCTTTGCTATTATGTATACATATTGCGTATTGAATTAAGGAAGATTACAGCCAGCCGCCAATCTGTGCCCGTAGAATGACATTGCCATGTAGATGTTTCCCGTCAGATTAGATCTATTTGGGAGGATCTTTTATTTTTTCTCGACTTACTATCCAGTGCGAATCTGTGGATTTGTGGTTATTAGTTGAGAGTCATAGGATATTAAATAAGCAGGACAGAGTGGTAGAGTTGGAGAGCTAGAAAGAACTCACCTAACGCCTATTTGATAGATTTCAAAAAAAAACCCAAAATATCCATTTCAGCCCTCATGAGTTATGATTGCTTCTTTCTGTTGCCAATGCCGTATTCAATCTACTCCAGTACTAACCATCAATTTTAGTTGAGGAAGAAAAAGAGTCGAATCTCACCGTGTTTGCTCCCTCTATCTGCAACGTCCTTCCCTACATATTCATGACAATTTCCTATATTCGACCTAATGCAGGCGAGAAACAAGTGTTATTTCTATTTGACGTGGATGCCATCTTCAGGCCAAGGTCTCCACCACTCATCGACTAGCCACTTTTTTGTAATAAATAACTCTGCCTGTATCAAGTTATTTGTCTGTCGTTCCACGGGCGTGATGAAGCGCATCAGATCTAAATAGTAAGTTTTCTCATTTCCTATATATTTCTTTAGTCCCAGAGCAAGTCTCTTATCTGTGTATAGACTAAACGATGGACGTATAAACGTTGTAGATCTTGTGAAGGAATCGTAATAGATCCTAAACTTGGAGCCATCATCAAAGACAGCACCAACGCGCCTCTCCCATCCTAATGGTAGATCGGATGAAGATTCGTTGCTGAACCAAGATGCAAGTTGAAGAGAATTCATGCTGTTTCGTTGAAGTAGGGTGACGATTCGAAATCTCTCCCCATTCTCGTGTCGCACTTCACGAGAGGAAAGATCAAGTGCAAGCTGCATGGCTGTTCTGTTCCGTGAGTCCAAAGCATCAACGCAGAACCCCGTTCCCAATAAAGCTTCGGCGGCTAGATATTGGCTTTCCCTCACGCAATCATGTAACGCAGTAGTTTCCAAATCGTCGACCTGATCCATAGTGGCAGAAATTTCCCCTGTTAAGTAGAATCGTGTTTGAGCGGTAGTTGTTGACTTTTTAGCAATTTCTGCAAACGTCAAACAGATTTCTGGAAGTCGATAGTTGTACCATCCTCGCTTTCTAAATTGTTGTAATGTTCTCAAGAATGCAAGAAACCTCCGCTTACCACTATCCGTGGCCTTCTCTTCAATCCTCCCTCCAAATTCGAGTAATAGTTGGAGGCGATCGAATCTTTCCTCTAGGTTATAGATTCGCTGTTCCTTGGACCTCAAGCTATTATAACTTAAAGATTGAGAAACGGTACAAATTGGATTCCATAATTGGTCACCGCCAGTTTTAATCTCGTGTATACCTATCTCGCCTTGAGAGAGCCAGGCCAATGTCTCGAGAGGATAGCAATCCAACATACATTGTGATAAAATATTCGACAACGAAGGCTGAATGGCTTGCCAGCAGCATAGCCTAATCCCGCTTCTCAAACGTGCAAGAGCGTATACTAAATGATTATCTTTGCTTTGCACTGCGCTCAGGAAGTGAGCATAAAAGTTTTTGTAATCAGAACACACGTGCTGTCCATGGGTTGTGACTGGCCGTGGGCTATTGAACTGCTCGGGGCTTGGTACGAGTTCCGGATAAATTTTGGCAGTTTGCTTGTAACTATTCTGCCTCTTGGTCTTTCGACGTTTTTCCAGTGGTAGCGCACGCCAAAAAAGGCCATTAGCCTGAGAATATGCACGATGATAGATATGTGACCATGAAGAATTTGATAATACTAAACAATTCCGCAGACTTTGTACCAAAAGTGCGTGTTTCAGCCACCGATCAAGTTCTACTAAGCGTCTTTGAGTGAGATTTAGAAATTTAGACCTTTTGCCCACATGCCGATATTGGGTGAGATCCATATAATTCCAAGGCTGTAATTTTCTATCTTCGGGGTTCCTATGTAATGCACCTTGTACGGTGAGAATTATGCGTCTATGCTCTTTCTTAGGAATCGTAGGAAATTTCGTGATTTGTTCTGTGGCAAGTTTATAAGCGTTCCCTTCTTCTTCCTGGTCCCAGGTGAGTGGGGGTTTTCCACCTCTTCTAAAGATGCTCCATACTACGAGTCCATAGGCAAATATATCACAAAGTTTCATTGCCCCCGATGTCAATGGATATGTGTCTTGCGTAAGTACTTCTGGGGCCCGCCATCCTGTAGTGCCGTGATAGACTACCTCGGATTTTGCTTCATGATCCATTGAAGACATTCCAAAATCGCAAAGCTTCGCAACCCACCCACCTCGATCTTCAAAGAGAAGAATATTTTCGGGTTTCAAGTCCCCATGTACTATAAACTCAGAGTGAAGAGCGCCCAATCCGTGACCGACATCCAGGCAGATCTTACGACAGTCATCATATGAAATCTCAGGGTGATATAGCAGAGGCTTGTCCAGAAACTCTCGAAGATCAAATCGCGCACGCTCTAGAATGAGTAGAGGGATACGGGGACTCACTTCCTCAGACTCTTCTAGGGCATCGAGACAAAGGCCCCAGCCTAAGAGTTTCACAATATTTTTATGATTGCGGAAAGAGGGGCGACACAAAGTATCGATTTCGCGATGGGCGGATACAATCTGGGAGACGAAGCTTATCTCTTCTCGTACAGGGAGTATCTGACGATGTACCATGAAAGGGTTATTATGTTGAGACGTCGCAGCCCGAGATTGCTTGATGGCTATGTTTAGATAATCGGTCACCATGGAGTTGAGCTCCACGATATCTGAATTTTCGATATGCTCTACGATTTCATCGGCCACGCCAAATACATCAAACTGAGCACCTTGACCAAGCACCGTAGCAAATTCTCGGCGGAGTCGCAAAAGCCGAGGCCCTGGTATACCATGGTCCTTTAGTGTAATCATCAGATTGCTCAAAACTTGCAAAGGATCAGTTGTTGAAGCAAATTCATCCACATGCGTGAAGCTAGAGTCAAAAGGATTTTGAGGACGATTGCTGTTCAAGGCTATAGACTGACTGAACAGGCGATCGAGCGAGGAATAGACCGCATGGCTTGGTTTTCCTGACTGATTGACTGAAAATTTGGCATTGCTGAATTCCATTGGATTTCAATCCTATTGTAGGAATAAATAAGTATCGGAATCACTTTCGACTTGAGATGAAGCAATCCAGCTTCAAAGAGTTTACTTGTGTTCCCCCAGCCTTGCTTATGTGTTGCGGCGGCTACACCAAAATAGCGACTTGCATGTAGCATGCTGGGAATATTCAGAATCAGCTTCTACTTCGGGCAGTGGGTGGGATATGTGTTATAATAACCGTAATCCTTGTCGCGCAATGCCTGCAAAGTCCTACTTAAGCCTCAGGTCCGCATGGTGTGCAGATGTCAACCTCGAAATTCGCATCTCAAGATTTGAGTATGGACCCTGCCGGGCTGGGATTAGCTGTGTTCTCTACATTTAAAGAGCTTTACTTGTTATCAAAATTCATCTGTCGGACTGTCGCTTCCGCAAAAAATGCCGATCGTGAGAAGATTGAGATTGAGGAAGAATTTCGCATGGAAGTGTTCTATCTCCGAAGCTTAGGCATACTATTCTTCCGGCATCTCAAGATCAACGACGACAAGAATTTTGATAAAGTTAGTAAACGTTCAACATCTTAGGACAGGTTTTATCGTGGGGCTTTCCGCTAATAATGAACAGGAATGGCTGGCTACCATTCTGAATGTCTTCGACCGCTTGAGGATTCTTTGCGGCGATTACGCGAAGATTGCCACGGAGCAAGACAAAGAGTATCGGACCTATTCGCCCTATTTGAACCCTGCACCAGCCAGATCTAAGATAATTGAGTTCGATCTTGAGCTCGACCCTCCCTCGCAAGAACGTCAAGGTTTTGATCTCACCATACAAGGAAAGCCAGCGTTGAAGTGGCTTGCTTTGAAGTTCGGTAGTATCGACGCCTGGAAATGGGCTCTTTTCGAGAAAAAGAAACTGGAACAACTTCTCCGACAATATCAAAAATGGAACGCAAAACTAAAAGAGCTAGTACCGCTTGTTTTGGCATTTAGTATCCAGCCAACTGACTCGACAAAGCTCACAGAGCTTGAGCTTGATGATGATGCTGCCTTCCTTGGAATAATCTCTCACGTGAGGGTCCGACAACATCTTGAAGGACTGAAAACCGTCCCGAAAGAGCGACTGTTATTGCGTGATGCAGCAGTAGATGGACCCGAAATTGCTGACTCTCTCGTCATGGCTCAATTAACCTCGAATCAGAAAAATGGCAACAGGGAGCAGGATGAATCCGTCTTGTTAGAATATAAGACGTACCAAGCCCTGGAAGAATATCATGGACCTGACAGAGAGACTGCTAGTCGCGTTGAACAACTTGCAAATCTGCTTTCTTGCTCAGAAAATTCTGATCTTAACACACTCCCCTTTAAAGGCTACATGCTCGAAGAAGAGCAAAATCGCTATGCTTTTTTGTTCGACTATCCGAGAGGCGTAGTACGGAAGCAGCCACAGTCACTCTATGATATTATTGATTCTTCTTCCACGTCCTCTCGACTTACTTTGAATGAGCGTTTTAAGGTAGCTCAAGGGATATCGAAAGCGCTTGGAGCACTGCATATTGACGGGTGGGTTCACAAGAGCTTTCGCAGTAGATCGATTGTATTTTTCTCCGATGCCAACACGCAGTCGAGCGAGTTACCATTGTATGATAAGCCCTTTCTAGTTGACTTTCAATTCTCTCGCCCTGAAGCAGCGGAGACGCAGTATACGTTTGACGATACCTTCGACCACAATGTATATCGACATCCTGATCGACAAGGAACTCCATCGATACGCTTCTCGAAAATACATGATATCTACGCGCTCGGAGTTGTATTATTGGAAGTAGGAATTTCGCAGACGGCCATCACTCTTCACCGAGAAGCTTCTTCAAGGGTAAAACATGGCTTGACTATGAGTCCGAGGGGTATGCAGAATGTTTTCCTCGAAGTTGCAAAGAGAAGACTGGCCCATTATATGGGGCAATCGTACTTAGAGGCTGTTCAGACATGTCTGTCTGGATCTCTCCGCGATTCAGTATCAAGTAATCATTTTCCAATGGCGTTTCGTCGAGAGGTGATCGACAAGATTAGTTTCAATGGCTTCGATTAGCTTACTGTAGAAAGCTCAGAGCACGGTGAGCAACGAACAAATAAGTCCAAGATTGCCGCAAATGTAACATCATGCGAATATCCAGGAGCTTGGGGTGGAATATATGGAGCTTTTACTTGCGGCGGTGAGTTTGGGGTTGGAAACTATTCATACATTCAAGAGAACAACTACAAGAAAGGAAATCATGTTAACTGAATCTAATTGAGTTTTGATAAATGGGTATATATGAACACACATACTCATAACAACCAAGTTCGTTAAGACTATGTAATCCTGAACGCCATATCTATATCGTTATGCATACTTATACTGCCATGTGATATAATGTGATATTATCATATGATATCAAGATGATCATATAACTTGATACGGACTGTATCGTGCTTTCTTGCTCCCCGACATATCTCTATTTACTCGAATCAGTCCGATAACTAATCCGATAACTAACTTAATATTTCGAGATAGTACTCACTGCTCATTACCCTGGGAGCACAATAGCTGAAATTCTCTCACACCCAGTAAAAAATCAATCTCTGTCATTTCAAACTCATTCATCGCATCACACAAATCCTAATACATCTTACGAAATATTTCATCACAAATATTACATTCTTAACTTGTGATATACCATTTGTTCTTGACTGATTAATTGGTTTATCCCAATCTAATCTTATGTATACTTCTTAGAGGTAGGTAGGTAAGTAACCAGGTCGACAAAGCAACAGAGTCGAAGTGTAATGGGCGAGCGAAGTGATGTGGAGAAGCATGGAAGGAACGAGTGAGGGGAAGGCAGCTATATTAAGAGAGATCAGAGAGATCAATAAATCAGACAATTAGCAGAGCACGGATCAGAAGTCACAAAACAGCGTCAGTAGATAAATTATCATTCCAAGACTACTAAACTGCAAAATCCTATCCCACATTGGATTGGGCTTTCTTTCGCTTCTCCCAATTTACTCCTCAATGGGAGTAATTTTACGAATGTACGGTGATATATACTAAGGAGATGGTATAATGAATGGTGAGACAGATGGTAAAGTAGATAGTGGATAGATAGGGGAAAATTTATTAATAGATGTAGTGGATGAAGTAAATGCGAAGTAGATATTGTAAAGGGCTTTCTTTTCGCTTCTCCTAATTTATTCTTCAGGATGATCTCGCAGTGCAAGATTCTCTATGTTAAATATGTTAAATAGGTAGTAAATCAGATAAGGTAGAAAAGGGGATGAGATGGATGGCGTAATAGATAGCAAGGTATGTGATGAAGAAATGATGAGATAAATAGTGAGGTCGATTAGACTTAGATTAGGTATAGTTAAGATATAAATGTGATGTAAATATTGTAAAGGGCTCTCTCACGCTTCTCCAAATTTACCCCTCAGAATGATCTTGCAACTACAAGGTTCTATATGGCGTATAGATGGTAGGTGATAAATGTCGAGGTAAATGAAGGGACGGGGAAAGGGCTTTCTTTTCGCTTCTCCCAATTTACCCCTCGGGGTGATTAGGCTGTGCAACGGAGGGGAGCCGATTATGAGTCTCGTGGATAATCCACAGATTATCCATACACAGAACGGATAATTGGAAATCCAAATGAATGATTTACAAAACAGATACAGACAATCTACAAATAATCCATTTACTTATAGATTATTCATCAATTTATAAATAATATCTATTATCTACAAATAATCCATAGATAAACTATAGATTACGTCTAGATTTTTCCTATATCGACAAATTCATCATAAGAGTAACTCAAATGTTTTGTTTCTTATCTAATTACATTTTAGACTAATAATATAGTAATTACTTATATTCCTAAATACTATGTTAACTAAATAAAAAGGTTATAACAAATTTTAATACTCATCCTAAGAATACTAAAATGAAGAATTTAAAAAAGCTTTGAATCATATTGATAGACAAGATTATACCGACCAACAAAGCTATATATGTCGAAGATAGTGATTCACGTGATGTCAAGAAGGAGGGGCGGTTAGTCTAACTGTAGATTAGTGGGAACTCTGACCATAGCAAGAGTTCTTACCCTATAGATTAAATGCCCTTAAGGTTCTATAACATAGTTATATATGTAATTCTATAACCTCTAAAAGTCCTCAAAGTCTACCCTAAGCTTCCCATTATGCCCCGGTAGAGTATCATAATCTCAACATATATACACATATATAGGCCCTAAAATTATATTACAAAAAGATCCCCTCCTCCCCCGCCTTTTAAATTCCAAGTCGTAATTACGTTTCAATTTTCAAATTTTCAATCACATCAGTATGATTGGTTCCTCAATGTCAGCAGGTATGCCAGGTAGGCATGGGATTTTAACATCGATGATATCGGTATCGATATCATTTGCGATATTGCAATTATATAGTCGGATTGAATGGAAATCCCTTCTCAAATCCTACGAATTATTCCTCCCTCTTTCGAAAAGGAATATCTATCCCCCTATTTCCTTATCATCTCATCCCATCCCATCCCATCCCATCACTTTCCCTCTCCCTCTCCCTCTCCCTCTCCCTCTCCCTCCCCTCATCCTAAAACCCCATCCATCCCTCTTTTTATCACTCACACACCAACCAACCCCTCAACCAAACCCCTCAACGAACCAACCAAGCACTCGCTTAGAATCTCTCTCTCCCTTTCTCTCCCTTTCTCCCTCTACATCTCCAAGAACAACTTCTATACTCATATATATCCCCATCCCCATCCCCATCCCCATCCCCATCCCCATCCACAGTCACATCCAAACGCCCAAACCCAATAAAGTCACCCAATAAATAACTAGCCAGGCAGCGAACCAACCTATCCACCAAACAAGTACCTACCTACCTACCTACCTACCTAGGTATAAACCCTATATACTCACTCACTCACTCACTCACTCACTCACTGAAAGATAACCAACTAAAAAACCAACCAAGTACCTACCTAGGTATTTCAAACAAGAAGAGAGGAGAAAGGAGATAGAAGAAAGGAAAACTAGAGATTTACATACATTATTACAACATCTGACATGTATTTTATTATTCATGCATGCATCCATCAATCACAGTCACTCTCTCACTCTCTCACTCATAGAATAACATAATATAAAGTAAAGTCTAATATTCTCTTCCTCCAGGTCTCACACTCACTGACTCGCTCATTCTATCTACATCCCTCCCCTATTCAGCTTCATCTATAAACCCACCCACCCATCTATCTATCTATTTTTATCTCCTCTTTCAAAGAAGAAAAAAAGCACTGAAAAGGAAAAAAAGAAAAAAAAGGGGGTATCTGTATCGTAACAATAACCCACATCAGCGTTGAGGATGAAAAACTTCTTTGAATGTCATGACTTTTTCATTCAAAGACAACAAAAGACAATCGTCTTTATGAAGCAAAACCCAACCTAACCCAATCCCATTTATCCTTTTTGAACGCCGCGCTTAAAATAGAATTCGCAACCGAGATCTTCCCTTCTAGAACTCCGAAAGTGGACTTTTTTGTATACCGGGACCTGTAATGAAAAATCCCAAAACTCCCAAGATGATGTTAAACTCGTAAATGGCGAAGTGAAGTGAAGAGGAGTAAATGAGTAAGGGAGAAATCGTTCGAGTCGTGATGTAATAAGATTCGAATAATATGAATCTCATCATGTATATCTCGGATCGGACCGGAATATTCTCACGCAAACCCCTCTCCAAAACTGCCTTCAAATTTCGAACTTTATGCAGTAACAGTAGCCGCTTGTTGCTGTCTCATTTTTTCCTCGCTGAATACACTCCTGCTCATCGCCAAAACTGCTTCGAATCCCTCCTTTCCTTTTCGTGCATTTTCCGAGAAAGCCGTAACTGTCGCGTCTTCAACGGCATTCTTCACTTTTTGCCATCCACCACATAATGCAGTAATCTGTGCCGTTTGTACAAATTGTGTTGTGTTTGCCGATAGAGGTTGATAGACAACGGTTTCTTGCACATTGATGATATTGGAAAATGTAAGATTGGTAGAGGTCATTGTGACTTTTTTGGTAATCGGATCGACATATGAGGTTTCGAAGACGTGGGATGTATCTTTACCGCCCATGAGAGATTGAAGCCATTTTGGAGCTGATTGTTGGCAGGTGATTAAACGTTCGGTTCGTAACTGTGATTGATTAGTATTTGTGGTTTGTGTGTAGAGGAGAAGAAGAGGAGGAGATAGAGGAAGGGAAAGAGGAAGAAGAAGAGGAGAAGAAGAAGAAGAAGAAGAAGAAAAGAACATACAATTCCAGTTTCAGCATCTACATGTCGTGATAATGTATCGACGGCGATAACATGGGTAGATTTGTGATTCCATGGACAATACTTTCTCCAGTTTGCAGTTGAGACTTCTTCCCATGAGTAATCGAATTTGCAATCGCTTGAAAAGACCTTCATTTTGATCGTGTGCCTTTGGTCGTGTGCTTGTTGGAGATTTGGACCCTTCTTTTTGTAATCTTAGAACGACTAAGAAGTTATCGTAGGGATGGTATTTTTAAGTATCGATGAGTAATTGTCGATCGTGAATGGAGCGACTTGATTGATGTATCGTGTTTCTATTAATCTATTGTATCGCAAAAAACAAATGTATGATAGGTATTGCTAGTCGTAATCAAGAAGGAGGAAGAGTCAGATAGTTATAAACTTATAGGAAATATCGAATTTGTTAGTAAGATAGGATTTTGAAGATAAAGGGTCGGATCGAATTCGGATTTTGTCTGAGCTTTTCTCTTCCCTCTACCACTTTTTTGCTTGTGAAAATCAAATTTTTCGCCATCGGTGTTTCGCTTAATTTCCATCCGATCATGTCTCAGAGAGTCAAGGTTCTTCCTTCTCTTCTCCATATTGTTGATCTTAAGAAGAAGAGAAGATCTTCCACATCTCGTCCCTTTTGACCTTGGTTATCGTTTCTCCGATTCCCGGACGAATGGTCTTTCTCAATTCCTAATACGAGATGTGATGGAAAGTTGTAGAATTACCAGGTATTCCTTATCGAGGTGTTGATATGGGTTATCATGAATTTGGATTGGTGGTTGAATGGATTACCTGCATCATTTGGATCATCAATATCATCATTATTCAAGGACCGTTCAAGGACCGTTCAAGGACCTGTAACCAACAAATGACATTGGAATTGGAATTGGAATTGAACGGATCCGAGTTAACCTACCTACACCACTACATTCGTGGGTCCGGGTAATACTGGAATGGCAAATATCATATTATCCATTGTACCGATTAACCAGTCTCGAGACCAGTCCAATCCAGTACATCGTATATCTCTATCCCTCGGGCCACGATATTGGCCTTGCACCTTGGACCTTGGACCTGAGACTTTAAGTTACCCTTTGGCCAACCAACTAAATTAAACCAGAGAACAACTCGGGATATGATCCGAGGACCTTTACATGGACGGCAATGGATGTAGTAGTTTGATAGTACTGTACAGAGGAGTAGAGATCAAACCATAAAAGACTTTACCCGATGAGAACTCTAGACTCTAGCTTGGCCGTCTTTCAAACTCAAAACCCTGAAGCTTGTCATGTATACTATACTATGTACAGACGACAACTTACAACTCACAAGCTTCTAGTGCCTGGTTGATGTGCGGGGCTCCCGTTACGCTTCCTTTTGGACGGTCTCTGTGGGAACTTGGAGGTTAGTTTGGAGGGACCTGGCTGATGGACTAGTCCTAAGAGGTGTGGTGCGAGGGCACTTGATATTGACATGACTTCTGTGTCCCTTTCCTTGGATACCATGCACGACGGAAAGAAAGGAGAGAATAGGAAATGTACATTTGTCGAGGTTACAGCCTTTACCATACGATATTACGATAGTTGCTTGGACTTTTCTGTGCGTGTATAGGATTTCCCTCGAAAGTAAGTGTCTGTTTGGGCGTGTCTCGAGATGTAAGATATGTATCAAGTAATGATATCAAGTAACGGCGGACGACATTACAATTCAGCTCTGATGATTAAATGAAGTTGGAATATTAATATCATCCAAAGATATTCATCTCCATCGTATGAGCTATCCTTCCAAAAGACTTTCAATCTCATCACTTGAATGGAGCGTCGATTTTCTATGTCTGTCTTGATACATGTATATATATATATATATATATATCATACAGCATCGCAAATAATAAGTTCTCTCTGATGATCCTCTCCTCTCTCTCTCTCTCTCTCTCTCTCTCTCTCTCTCTTACACAAATAACAATTCCATACTACCTCCACATAACCAATCAATATCTCATCTACTCCACAATTCTTCATCCATCCTGATTCCTGACCCATATCCTCCAAAGCTTTCCCCTTCCCCGACTTTGCCAATTCATGTTTTGCATGCACAAACCAACCAAATCCACCAATCAGTCCAGATTGCCATTTGGTGAATCCCCATTCAATCATCCTCTGATAGGTTGAAACTTGATACTCACCTCATATTTCCTGAAATCCTCTAACCTGTCCAGAATATAGAACATGGACATATGTCAATATGTCCAATACCTACCTAGTAGATACATACACCAGACAAAGTCCTCTCCAAATAAAGTAAACATTACATTCCAAAATACACAATCTCAGACAGATCATAGAACTAGATAGCAAAACGCGTGAATTGCTTGCTGTACACCCAAAAAGACGAAACTATCTATCATTCCCCCTAAAAGTAACCTACCTTGTTTGTTTTTTGCACGGTACAGGAAGTAACCAGAGCCCCCGTGGCTGGAGAGAATGGATGGGGAGTGAGGAGATTATTGAGTGATTGCTCAGCTTATAATTTAACTACATAACATCTTCCTTTTGATCTTTTCTCTCTTCACTCTTTCCTATCCATCTCTCCTTTTTCTTAATTCAAAAGTATCACACATATCACTTCTCTATTATTATCATTATTATTATCTACTCAATTATAAGTGAATTGTATTTCATCGAACCACTTCCCCATCCATCTCGGATAAGATCTCTCTCTTTATCGCAAACCAACAATCGCGACAACTAACCTCGTCAATAATAACAACAACAACAAAAACAACAACAACAACCACCCTTCAATTTCCAATATTTTCAAACACAATACACAATCATGCCCGTTACGTTAAGAAAACGTCCTGCTCCAGCTGAGCCTCCTGCTCCAGCTCCTCCTGCCAAAAAGAAGTCAACTGTCGCAAAGACCGTCGCAAAAGTCAAGGAAACTGTTAAGAAAGCCGCTGAACCAAAAGCTACCAAAGCTACCAAAGCTGCTCCTGCATCAAAGACAAATGGATCTAAAGCAAAGACTGAAACCAAAGTCGAAGCTCCAGCTCCCTTGCCTCAAGTTAAAGCTTCCAAAGCTTCAGCTGCAGCTCCAGCTCCAGCAGCAACAACAAAAGCTGTAGTTGGTGAAACCATCGATCTTAAAGGATTCGGTGGAGAAATTGAAACGAATGAAGGTGAAAAGACGACACTTGAGAAACTTGTTTCCGAGAGTAAGAATGGTGTTGTACTTTTTACTTACCCTAAAGCTTCTACTCCAGGATGTAAGTATCCTACTCCGTCAATATTTATCAATCCATCTATCCATCCATCCATCTCAATCTCATTTCTCATCCATTCAACTTGATCCTTATCCAGTCACTAATTTTCTCAAGGCACAACCCAGGTCTGCGCTTTCCGCGACTCTCATCCTACTCTCCTCTTAACCGGCTACACCGTCTATGGTCTCTCAAAAGATTCCCCCAAATCCAACACCACTTTCAAAACCAATCAAAAACTTCCTTATACACTTCTCTGCGACACAAAGGCTTCACTCATCTCCGCAATTGGTTTGAAAAATGCAAAGGGTACCACTAGAGGTGTATTTGTTATTGACAAATCTGGAAAGGTGTTGGCTGCACAGGCTGGAAGTCCTAAGGGTACACTTGAGCTTGTAGAGAAATTGATTGGTGCTGAGAAAGAAGAAACTGAGAAGGAAGAAGCTGCAGTAGAAGGAGAGAAAGAAACTGAAAAGGAAAATGAGAATGAAACCGCAGAAGAAACCAAAGAGGAAGTCTCATCAATCTCAGAGGAAAAACAAACCGAGGAACCAACAATCCCAGAAACAAATGGTACCAACGGGACCAACTCATCTACATCAAAGGAAGATGTAGCCAAAGCAGAAGTTGCAGCCGATGTAGCCGATACAGCTGAAAAACTTGACGGCAAAGATTCCGAAGTTAAAGCTGCTGAGACTTCAACAGCTTGAGTACGGAGGTCTTGATTTGAGTCTGATTTTCAGGATGAATGCGTGGTTTGATGAATTCATTCATCTGCATTGCTGCTACTTGCATAAACTCCCTGTCCATCCACTGCATGCATGCGTTTATGCATACATTTTCTTCTCATTTGATCTTCGGATTCTGGTTTTGATTTTTGATGGGCATCAAAAGGAAGCGAGGTATGGTGATGAATGGATTGCCAAAAAGCATGGAATAGTTTTGATTTGATTCGGTTGATCTATCTTATCTGCTGGTTTAATTGGTTTCTAAGGATACTTATTTCAATCTACCTTCATGGCTCCTTCCACTTTCTATTCCCCAATACTCATTTCACAACTTAAACTAGTGGAAGGAAGAAAGCAGGGAAGGAAGAGATACTCATCTTTCTCTTTTGATACTATTCAATTCGATTCAAATTTTTCTTTATGTTATGTATGGGCAGGTGCTATGGAGTGAGTTTGGGGTTTCTCTCTTTTTCTTTTTCGTTACGGAGAATGCGGGATAGGGTGCAAATAAGACAGACATTAAATACAACACAATATGATATGATATGGAGGATACTGGGTATGGAAGATGGATATGAAAGATGGATAGGATTTTATAGGATAGCATAGGATAGGATAGGATATGATATCTGAATTCTAGGTTCTATTCTATTCAATTTACTTTTGTGGATGAGTTGTTTAGGTGTGTATATCTGATGGTGATTTGGTGATTTTGATACTCTCGATACTGGTGAGTGAATAGATGATGAATAATGAATAGGTGAAGAGGGAATTGGATGTGTATACATCCAGCCATATGTCCATTCGGTCATCTATACATACAAATTATCATACATGGATCTCCATTATACACATCACACCACGCCATCTGTTCAATTATTCATCTATCAATACATATCTAACCATGGATGCACACATCACACTACGCCATCTATATACACATCTATCTATACACATCCGGTCATACATATACAGTCGTCACCTGTTCACCCATCCATCCATCCATCCATCCATCCATCCATCCATCCACCATCCCTTCATCTATACACCTTCCATCCAGCCATCCATCTATCTTCCACTCATCTATATACATCAAGTCACCCATTCATATAAATACACTTATTCTCCCCAAAATTTCGAAACTTAAGACCTAAGATTCAAGACCTAATATTCAAAATTGTGATCTCAACACTCATGAGTAAAATCTTACGCTCGAAACCCTCACTCCTCACTTCTCCTTCTCCTTCCCCCTTTCCTTCCCCTTCCCCTTCGTCTATTCACATCACTTCATTCGTCTATACTTCCTTTTGTATCTATTTAGTATCTATCCACACCTCTCCTCTCCTTTTCGGTTTATTCATCTTTTATCAAATTTTCATACTTCATACTCCATACTTCATCCATCTTCATCTTCTCCTCTAATTCGGTTCAGTTCATTTCACTTCTAATCCATATCATCCTCACCATCCATGTTTCTCTACGAGATAATCACTCCTCTCCTCCTTAATTTTTCCTTTCACTCCTCCTTTTCACTTCCTTTTATTCTTTATTCATCTATATTTTTTCGTATATTCGTATATCCATCTTCTCTCAATCACTTTATCATCTTCCTTTGAGTCTATTTCTAATTCATTTTGTTCGTTTTCTGTTTAATATATTTCCTATTTATCCTCGCTCCTCTTCCTCACTTCATTCATCTTCCATCTTATCTCACTCCCCTTGCTCTTCGCTTCCTTATGACTCCTCATCCACCCTTCATTTTTTTTGTACTCTTCTTTTCCTTTCGTTAGAACTACTTCTCTTTCTTACTTCTCCTTCAAAATCATTTCCCTCAAATCACTTCATCTATGCACCTCCTCCCGATCAACTTCTCCCAGCCAGTTTCTCGTTTCTCTTCACTTCATTCATCCTCTCCCTCTAATTAATTATCCATTCTTACCTCTCTCTATCACTTCTACTTGTCATTTCTCTTCTAAATATATATATATGTCTCTTTAGTTCTCTCACCTCATCTATCCTGCCCCTCCAATTCATCATTCATCATTCATCATTCATCATCAATTCATTTCTCCTTTCTCCTTCTCTCCTCTTCAATTCTCTTTTCAAATTGTTCCTAGATTATTTCCCTTCCCCTTCATTTATCAAAATTACTTTGTTTATCCTTCTCTCTCTTGACTACTTCTCCCCATCACTTCGTCTACCCCCCTCCAGTTCACTATCAATCCGCACCTCTCCTCCTCATTTCTCCTCTCTATTAATCACTTCTCTCCTCACTTCAAACATTATTTTCCTTTCTCCCTTTTCCCTTTTACATCTTCCCTTTTTACTACTTACTTCCTGATTCATCTCCTCGCTTTGTCCATCTTTCTCCCGATCAACTTCTCCTCTCCACTTCTCCACCTCTCTTCCCTTCCCATCGCTTCCCCTCTATATTTCTCCTCCTAACTATTTACTTCCCCTTCTCGCTTCCCCTTCCCTTTATTTATCCTTTCTTTTTATTTCTTTTCTTATACTTATTTCTCCTCTACTCACCATTTCTCTACCCGACTTTTCCTTCTCACTTCATTGATCTTCCTCTCTGTTTCCTTTTTCACACTCACTTCATTTCTTATTTCTCCTCTACTAATCACTCCTACTCATTTCTCTTTTCCTTCCAAATCGCTCTACTTCACTCCCATGTTCTTACACTCCCCATCTCCTATTTTCTTTCCCTATCTCCTATTTTCGCTTCTCGTCTGCTCTGGTCTCGTCTACTGTACCTCGTAATATTCCCTATTCCCTATTTCATCTTCCATATTCCTCATATTATACTCCGTGCATACCAAATGAAGGAATGAAAAAAATGGAAAGGATGAAGTATATAGATACTCAAGGAGACAAGATAGGATAATCAAGCTACATACTTACCCCCTATTTACTCCCATTCACAGAGAAAATAGAATATAAACGAATAGAAAGATAGATATGCGGATACCCACCTACCTGTAGATAATAGATAGTAAACAGTAAACAGTAAACAGTAATCAGCTAATCAATACCCATTCAGCACTTATCCAACATCTTTCCTCTCCCCTCCCCCTCTTTGTATCAAGTATCAGATATCAGATATCAGATATCAAATATCGAACACAACTCCATCTATATCACCCCCCCAATGATAAACAATACCTTTGAATACCTGCGTTTCTCTAGCCTGAGAGCTCTCCATTCCCACTTTTATTCCACCCCCATGCTATCTCTATTCTAATCTATATTCACCTTATTCTATAATATCTGGAATTTATCCTCCCATCCCATCCTGTCTTATCTCTATCCTACTGCCATCCTGTTCTATTCTATCCCATCCCACCTCATCCTATTTTATCTCATTCCCACACTCCATTCCCACACCTCTATCTCCCTCTACCTTCCTACTCACACAAACCAGAACAATATCCCATATCCCCCATCCCCCCCAAGCCCCCAATACAACAAACCAAAACAAACAGAACAAACAGCAAATTCCATGAATTCTCAAAATCCACAAATCTACAAGGTGAATAGATAACTCACTGATAATGAATATGTAAATCGAATACACACACACACACACACACACACACACACACACACAAAATACAACTCAAGTCCTCAATTCCATCCAGCTGACTGTGCCTACATAGAATGAGGATTCACGAATGAATTCTGAAACGAACGGGATGTCAATATGAAGAATCCGAATTTATTGTCTACCTATGCATATGTACCTACATTTTTTGATACCTTCCCCTCCCTTCTCATCTCTTCCTACATAAGATTGAAATTCAGATCCGAATCGAGACTGCGATCGAAATAGCAATGAAGATTAAAACAACACACCATTCTTCCCATCAACTTCCTTATCTCTACCATAGCTTCGAGATTCAAGACTCCTCAATCTCCTCCTTCATATTTCATAATACCTTTTCCAAAAACCCTCACGAGTTTCTCTTTTCTTTCATCTAGTTTTTTCTTCCAGAAACAAACAAACAAACAAACAAACAAACCAGCAAGCAAGCAAAACATACCCAACATAAAAAACAATTAAACAGATAGAAATATACTTATAATTGTATGCATACATACATGCAGCATAATGACATAAACTCAATATCTTGTATGTAATGTGATTCCTCTTCTCTTCTCTCGATTCCGTACCTTTGTGTATGGATGTATATGTACAAGTTTTCTTCCCTGCATGCTTCTTCTTTCTTATCTCCCGCCATCATCCGATCATCTTGTCGACATCTTCTTCTTCTTCTTTACTTATTTGAAAGTTCGGCATGGGTATCTGGTTTTTGTTAGCTGGTCGTGTCATATCGTATCGTATCATGTCATGTCATGAGTACCATCCTCCCATTTCCATTTTCATTCCACTTCCGAATTCCCAACCCAAAACCCCCCCACCACAAATATAAAAAAAAAGAACCCAAACTTACTCCTCAGGATACGCATTCTCCTCCGTCAAATGATACTTATCCCCCTCCACCCTCTTACTCGGACTCACACTCGCCGGCAAAGGCGGCAAGCCCCCTCTACCAAGTAACTCCAACGCACCCCCCGCACTCTCCCTCTCAAAAAACTTAGCCAACCCCCCTTCCCCTCCTCCCCCACCCTAACCAACTCCTTCACCCCGGTCTCCCCAACCAACTCCTTGCGCGGCGCAGCCTCACTCCCTACACTCAACAAACCCACCACGTCACTCTGGGCCACGAAACTCAGCTGCGGATACGAGCGACGGGAATCGCGCTTCCAGTAGGGATTCTCGGCGATATCACCCGCGGGGAGAGTAACGGGGTCGATGAAGGAAAAAGGCTCGTTGGATCCTGGAGGCGGATTGCGGAATTGGGGGTTGAGGGGTACGCCGTTGGAGCGGGTCGGATCGACGGCGAGGAAGCGACGGATGGTTTCCCAGAGACCGGTGGATTGGACGGTGTATTTCTGAGAGGGGATGTTAGATTCCGACTTAAGTTTGAGATTGGGGCTTGAGCTGCTGAGAGGGAGAGGGATGGAGGTTAAAGTGATGGAGAAATAAATAAATAGATACCTTGTGAACGGGAATAACACGATTAGCAGCTTGAGCCACCTTTGCCACGGATTGTGATGCCATGTTTGGAATGCGATTGGGATTCCACGGCGTATGGGTTGGTAATTGAATTGGTCTATGGATTGAGTGTTCTCGATACTTATGAGCCTTGTCTGTAGTCCAAGTTCAACATTCGCGAAAGTGGTCCGAGCGTCAACGGGGTTTGGAAATTGCAAGAGTTGGATTGGATGAGAGGAGGGGAAGCTCTGTATGATGATTTTATTACTTACTTCTCCTACTTCTCCCCTTGATAATTGGAATGATGCCTGTATATATACTAGCTGATACTAAGTGTATGTTTTCATGATTTTGTTGCACAAGACAAGTTGTGGAGGTTGACTTATTGTACTTTTATATCTATAAAAGCGTCAATCAAGCTGTGCTCCTGGGACTCGTGGCCATGAATGCTATGGCATATGAGTTTCTAAGAGATCAAATGAAAATTGTTTCACTAGTATCACTATCAGATCTGATGGAGGAGTGTTTCCATAAAACACTTTCACAACCTCATCATGGGAATCAATATCAACTTTTGAAAATGGTATGGAGTTGAGAACCAAAGCCATGCATAATATTGTCATTCACAGTATGCCAGCCACCACAGCACCTATCCTAATATCTTCCCCAAACAATTACTGAATATCCCATTAAAGTTGAATTTTCTCCCTTCCATTCCTCTTTTTAAGTACTCTCCTCCCATGGTAGAGAGAAAGTGCCAACCCATTCCTCAACCTCACTTCTCAATTGTACAATCTCTCTCTCATTCTCGCCCTCGCCAAGGTACTCCAAGAAAGCTTTTACACTGCCAGGATTCTTTCTTCCCTTTGCCTCTGCTGCTTCCCTTGCACTTTTATCTAATCGTTGAGTTATGGTAACAGCTCTATTTACAACATCGGCAACCCGTACGAAATCTTCAGGTTGGAAACCACGAGTTGTCATGGCTGGTGTACCCATTCTTAATCCACCAGGTTTAAGGGCAGATTTATCACCTGGAACTGTATTCTTATTGGATGCGACTCCAACAAGTTCAAGAACACGTTCAACTCGAGCACCATCAACTCCTTGAGGTTTTAAGTCAATGAGTACAAGATGATTATCGGTACCCCCAGAGACGATGGAGTAACCGAGACCCCCTTTATCTTTTGAGTCACCCAAACGCTTCGCAAATGCCTTTGCATTCAGTAAAACTGCCTCTTGATAAGCTCTGAATTCAACGCTTTGTGCTTGTTTTAATGCAACGGCCAATGCAGTGATAGTATGGTTATGAGGACCTCCTTGATGTCCTGGAAATACTGATGCATTAATTGGATCTTCAAGATTCCACATCTCCTCTTCTTTTGTTTTTGGGTTGACTCTTCTAACCCCCTTTCGGAAGAAAATCATAGCACCTCGAGGACCTCTGAGTGATTTGTGTGTAGTAGTTGTGACGACATCTGCATATTCGAAAGGACTTGGAATAACCTTTGCGGCAACAAGACCAGAAATGTGTGCCATGTCAGCTAGAAGATATGCTCCAACCTTGTCGGCAATTTCACGCATACGCTCATACTCAATGAGTCTACTGTACGCTGATGTACCGGCAATAATAATCTTTGGTCTGTACAATGTAGCAAGTTCCTCCAACTTAGCGTAGTCAATAAGTCCTGTACTTTCATCCAATCGATATGGTAAAGTTTCAAAGTATTTTGAGATAGCGGAAATTTTTTTGGTAGGGGTTTGATATCCATGAGAAAGATGACCACCGTGAGGTAAATCTAATCCCATTATTCTGTCATGTGTATTGGCGAGAGCGGAATATGCGTAAAGATTTGCAGGAGAGCCGGACAGTGCTAGATAAGTTATGAGTGAGGAACTCCCATATCAGATGTAAGACATACGTTGAACATTGACACCCCATTCTGACTCTTTCAACCCAAAAGTCTGTAGAGCACGACTTTGGCATAATCTCTCGGATTCGTCGATGAACTCATTTCCTCCATAATATCTCGCTCCTGGATATCCTTCGGAATATTTATCTGCCAGAAAGTCAACATTGACTCATTCCGCTATTGAACTCCAAACGCACTTTGCATAACACTTCCCAATGCATCTAACACAGCTTGTGATGTGAAATTTTCGGAAGGAATAAGGTTGATGAAATGCTTCTGCCTCCGTTTTTCCTATTCGTAATGCTTTAGTCTTTATGTATCATCAATCGAGGGGACTGGCGAGGGAAATCGTACATTTTGGAGAATGCTGAAGACTGCTGGATCTGCATGTTCAAGGTTTGCTGAAAGTAGCTATCACGAACAAAGTCAGCTTTTTGCTACTTGCGAGTCCAATTGACAGGTAGCAAACCTTTTGTTGACTTTCCAAGGTCATTCGACTACTACTCGCCGCTCTTCTCGCGCCACATATTGAAGCTGCTGCTCTTTGCGCAGTGTTAGCCCTGAACACAGTTCTTGAGGCTCCTTTAAAGAGCGACATGATTTCCTGTATTTGAGTTAGAGATTCCAGCTTTTCAAGGGCAAACAATTAAAACATACGACTAGACTATAAGCAATTGCTTGCACCGAGAAGTAGAGCTTTGTTTGTCAATATGCACTCAAGTGATTCCCAGATCCCCGCCATCGGGAATAAGCTAGCACCTTATCCGGCTGAGTATCGGAACTTAAGATGTGCCGATCTCTCCCCTCAATCTTCATTTATTTCCTGATAACAAATATTGAAATGATATGATAAAATGATATGATGAATTGAAATGGAATAAGATGAAGTAGAGGAACAGTCGCTTTCATTGATGTCTTCAGAAGCTGCAACTTCTGCTATGAACACAGAACAAACTTTTAATAATGACGGGATCGTGCATATTCAGTTGATGAACCATTACATTCTCTTTTAGCATGAGAGGCGATTGCGATGCCACCATTGATATCACTTCTCACATCTTTACATCCAACTCACATTCAATCATGGAGACACATCAGAGGGGAGGAATTCAAAATTGGTGACGTAGTTGACGGATTCCTTATCGGAATCCCATGCATATATAATATGTACGCTCGAATAAAGCAGTGGAGGATAGGTACTGGCGGATTATAGAATGGGAGCGGATACAAAGACAATCTGAAAATGTGAGGGCCAGGGGCGTTGAAATGCAATTTGAATGACAAGAGGAAATGAAGTAAATGGGAAATCGGACTCAAAAAACATACACCACAATTTGAACTGAAAACTTGAGATTGTGTAGGACGGAATGAAGTTATCACCAAGGTAATCATGATATGGAGAAAAGCAGGTATCGTTTACACGTTTGAACCGTCTGATTGCAAAAAACCATTGAACACCAAAGAATCTTGAGTGAAAGATCATGATACCATTGCCCGTGCGATAATGCAGGATATCAAAAGATATCGAAAGCAACCGGCCTGTATTATAAACCTTGCCAGATACACTCCATATGCTACCACCACAAAAGCCCAACCATTTACTTTGTCTCGGTCTCCTCTGCCTCGCCGAATTGAGCTGCCTTCTTGGCTTGGTTTCTCTCTACCTTTCTCTCGCGGGCAGCCTTGGTCTTCGCACGCTTGGCGTCCATCTCCTCCTTGAGGAGTCTTTCACGTGCCTTCTCGGCCTTAGCTCTGTGGATCTATTGTATTCTGTCAGTTTGATGGTTTCAATTAGCAAGCAAGAACCAATGTGATACTTACGTGTTCGACCAATGCACGCTTGTGCTTGAAAGTGTTACCCTTGCTCAAGTGGTAAAGCTCGTGGTAAAGGTGTTTGTCGATCTTGCCGCTGGCACGGTACTTGACTAAGAGACGTCTGAGGACTCTAAGACGACGCATCCAGACGACTTGGCTAAACAAATATTAGCCCAATATTCCTCTTCCTTAATTTATCGTGTATGATGTATGTATTTCTTGATAATTTTCTCGGAGTGGCGAATGTCGTACCTTGGCATACGGGCATCTGCGGTACCCTTTCTCTTACCGAAACCACGGTGTCTACCAATTCTTCGTGCAGCGGTGAGTTCACGAGCGCGTGCGCGGGAGTGCATGGTGACTGGCTTGCGGATGATGAGGCCATCGGAAACGAGTTTGCGGATGGTTTGACGGGAGTTAGCGTTGGAGATTTCGCTGGTCTCGTTGGGGTCGAGCCAAATCTTGCGCTTTCCGCAGCCGACGACGGAAGCCGCCAGACGTTTCTGAGTTGTAAGGTTGACCCTATCGTAAGAAAAAAGAGTCAGCTTTTGATGCTTTCGATGTTCTCAAAGACATGTTGTTGGTATCGCTTCAAAAAGGCTCGCAATGTATCGAATCAAACAGAAATGATCGATTGAATGGAATGAGAATATCTAGCAACAGCGTGGGCTTACATCTTGACTGAATTCGTGGTCGTCGGTGGTGGTCGTCGATATTGTCGTTTGTCGATGGCGCTCGATGTTCAAGATTCAATGCGTGGTCAAGATTTCCCTCGCTAGAGTTTCCACTAGTGACTAATCAAGAAAAATCTAGGGCTGTCCCCTACCCACAATCTAAGAAATTTGATTGAAAACGAAAAAACTTTTAAGAATTGCAAAAAGAATTGGAAATTTGGGATTCATTAAAGTTTGGAGCCAGGTAAATGTAGAGAAGAGGAGACAATTGGTTGTCTTGTTCCATTGTTCAATTGAAGTTTCCCAAAGATTCATAAATCACGTGGAGTTTGTCAATCCATCCTAGGATTAGTCATCACACTCCCAATTGTTTTCGGATCCGCGGAGCGCCCAAGGGACAGGAAGTTCAACACCAAAAACAAAACGAATCCAACCATTTAAATTCGATAATCAAAGACTGCCAATATATTCAGAAGCACCTTGACAATCAGGTAACTGTTTTGTTTATTTTTCAAATTTCAAGGTCGTTATAAAACATTAGATGTTAAAATGATTGAATTAGTTGAACGATGTGATTTAAAACTGATCAAATAAACCTGATATATACAAGCAATTCAAATTGAAATTCATATCTAATGATTTTTATTGGCAATGCAAATGCTTTTCTTATGCTGAATTTAATCATCACATCAAATCGTAACCTCATTTCCTTATGCATCAAAAGCCTTTTCGCCCAAATCCACCTTTCCAATACTTGAAATCTCCTTTTCATCATCAACCTCGTCATTAGAAAGACCCAGTCCACCCTGTCCACCTTCGGCTTCTCTCCTCTCTCGTGCTGTATTGCCTAACCTCAATGCAACCCGCTTAAAGTAATCCTGCATGCTTCTCTTTTGATTCGGTGCCAGGTCTTGAGCAGCGATATATTTATCAAATACCTTGCTTTCCTCTTCAACAACATTGAACAATGCGAGGAACGCTGCTTCTGCTGCTAGCTTGATGGGGATGATAGGATCTCGAACACCTGCAAATACAGGTGTGGCGAGTAAGGGAAGATGTGGTCGAACTGCGTCTGTTTGGTGGCGACAGATTGTGCGAATTACTACAAGTGATAGACGACGAGCATCGGCTGTATTTCCTGGTTGAATCAATTTTGCTAATGATTCAAATATTGGTTTTGTCGTTTCAAATTCATGGTTGGCGGTCTCAGCAAGAAGGTATTTTCCAGCGGCGAGGATACAGTTTTCTGATATGAAGTCCTGAGAAACGGTTAGTCTTTGACCCTGAGGGTTGATACGATGTCACTTACATTTTTGCTTGCTATGCCTTGGCAAATGACTTCCGGTAAGTCATTAGCAAAGGCAGTTTCCGTCAATGCGGATGGTGCTTCGGCAAGGACAGCATTCAACGCGAGAACCGTAGATGGAGTGAAGTGAGTTGTTACCACACGATTCTTGATTAGCCCTGAAGCGTTTTCGGGGGTTAGATTTTTGATCAATGCTGCGAGAAGCTTGGCATTGGTGATAGCCATAGACACATCATTATCCTCCGCATCGGTATCGATCAACCCGAGTACTGCGCTGCGCGAAGCCTCTCCCATATTAGCACCAGCTTTACTAATAACTTCATATAATGCCTTGAGCATAGCATTCCTAACTCCGGAGTCCGAAGTCCTTGAACCTGTAACCAACTCGGCGATCAAAGGATCAATTCTTGGAGTCAAGGTAATCAAAGTACCCAAAGCTTTGGCAGCACGAGTTCTGAGAACTTCGCTCGATGTATCGGCCAAAGACTTGGCAAACGTACGTTGCAATTGTGGAAGGAAGGGTTTTAAGAACGTTGGGATCTTCTCCAACAAATTGTTCAAAGTTAGAAGAATGGCAGCTTTAACGTCGACAGACTTTTCCGAAACTACACGAATAAGCGGACCAGTGATTTGAGTAACAAATGGCTTCAAAGAATCCCCACTTGTTCGGTCAACAATGTCGGATATAGCTAAGGCAGATTGTGTACGTTGTTCAGCAGTACCATTCATAAGACCATGCAAGAAGATAGGTAAGATGGCGTTGATACCCTTGGGCAATCCGAAACCAGGTAAGTTGGATCCGGGTACACCAACGTGTTGTAAAGTCTGTCTTGTCGAATAAATGAGTGTTTCCATTTCTTCCTTTCTTAAGTGTTTAGTAAACTCGGAAAGTGCAGTCCAGGCGGCCTTGACAACTTCCGCGTCTCCGTCGTCGAATGAAACGAGTAACGCGCGTACAATATCTTGGTTGTAACGAGAGTAGTCAACTGTAGCTGCGGCAAAGAATTTGGCAAGGCGATAGTCCACGTTTGCTCTTCTGCGATGATCATCGTGCTTCACTAATGCAAGAAGAACATTCATAGCCACATTGAGGCCATCGAACTCATCAATGGACTGAACAACCGTGTCAAAGGATGACTCGAGCTCTGACTTGAGATCCTCATCCCTGGAAGAAATGATGTTATCCATCAAAGAATTCAATATAGTAGGTAATCTTCTTGCCATGGCCGGTCCTGCAACGGTTGAAAGCGAGGCAAGCGCCCTGGCATTGAATGAAGATATAGGCGAGATGGTAAGCGTTGGTATGAGGTTTGGAAGGATGATATTTGATCTTGTCGTTTCAGTCAACAAAGTCAGGAGTGCAGACAAGGCATTGTCAGCCTCGCTTTCTGTGCGGAGTAAGCTTAAGAGATATGGCAAGACCTGGTCGACAGCCTTCTTGCCGAGAATTTGCTGTAGCGAATCGAAGGCTTCAGCTGCTGCTTCTCTGACTTCGTCATCCGAGTCTATCAAAGCAACTCTGACAACAGAGATCAATGTCTTCTCATGATCTTCCAAAGCCTCTGGGGAGGCTGATGAAATCAATTCACGAAGTGCAATACATATTCCTTGCTTAGCATCTGTATCTGTAGAATTTTGCAAACCATCCTCCAAGGTGGGCAATAGGGTTGAGAGAACTCCATCACCTGCTTTGCGAATCAATTCACCAAGTGCGTTACCTGCAATAACCTTCTGCTCCATGTTGGAGCTTCCCAATCGTCGAATAATGAGTTGAGTGAGCGTAGGAATAAGCTCTTTAAGCGT